TTCCATGTGTTTGAATAGTTTCCAGAGCTTTGCTAGTTATTGATTTCCAGTTTTAATCCATTGTGGTCTGAAAGGATACCTGAAATGATATCAATTTTTTAAAAATGTGCCAAGAGTCAATTCGTGTCCTAACATGTGGTCTATCCTGGAGAATGTTCCATGTGCTGCTGAGAAGAATGTGGATTCTGTAGCTGTTGGATGAAATGTTCTGTAGATATCTGCCAAGTCCAATTGGTCTGAGGTGTAGCTTAAATTCTATGTTTCTTTGCTGATTTGTTGCCTGGAAGATCTGTCAAATGTTGAGAGAGGGGTGTTCATGTCACCCATTATTATTGTATTAGCATCTCTCTCTTCCTTTAGACCTAATAGTATTTGCTTTACATATCTAGGTGCTCCAGTGTTGGGTGCATATGTATTTATGATTGTTATGTCTTCTTGCTGGATACATCCCTTTATCATTAGATAGTGGCCCTCTTTGTCTTTTTTTATGGTTTTTGGTTTGAAGTCTATTTTATCTAATATCAGAATAGCTAATCCTGCTCATTTTTGGCTTCCATTGCATGGCATATCTTTTTCCATCCCTTCACTTTTAGTCTGTGTGTGTCTCTACAGGTGAGGTGTGTCTCTTGAAGACACCATATAGTTAGGTCTAGCTTTTTAATCCAATTGGTCAGTTCATGTATGTTGAGTGGGACATTTAATCCATTTACATTTAGGATTGTTATTGATAGGTATTGTTTTACTCACGTCATTTTAATGCTTGTTGTTTAGATGTTTTGAATATCTTTTGTTTCTTTCTTCTAGTTTTATTATTCATCTTCAATGTTTGTTGGATTTTTGAGGTGACATGATTTAGCTTCTTTTTCTCATTTGAATTTTTCTTTGAACAGTGGGTTTTCTCTTTCTTGTGTATTTGTGATAGTGATTATCATTTTTTTGGATTCCATGTGCAGGACTTCCTTAAGAATTTCTTGCAGGGCTGATTTTGTAGTGGTGAGCTCCCACAATTTTTGTTTTTCTGGGAAATACACTATTTCTCCCTACTTTCCAAAGGATAGTCTTGCTGTGTATAAAGTTCTTGACTCACAATTTTTTCCATTTAGTATTTTGAATATATCATTCTATTTTCTTCTGGCCTTTAGAGTTTCCTTTGAGAAGTCTGCTATTAGTCTGATGGGGTCTCCCTTATAGCTGACTTGATGCCTTTCTCTTGCTGCTTTTAGGATTCTCTCTTTGTCCTTGAGCTTTGCCAGTTTGACTATAATGTATGTTGGAGAGGATCTTTTTGTATTGAATCTGTTTGGATATCTTTGGGCTTCCTGGATCTGAAAGTGTGTGTTTCCCCTATACATGGGAAATTTTCTTTTATTATTTACTTGAATAAGATTTCAATGTCTTTTCCTTTCTCCTCCCTTTCTGGAATACATATGATTCAGATGTTTGAGTGCTTAAGGTTGTCAGGTAGCTCTCTTAGTTTTTTTTTTTTTTTTTTTTCATTTTTTTAAAGTTTCCTTTTTTTTTTTGTTCCCCTGGGTTATTTCAAACAGACCATCTTTGAGATCTGAAAATCTTTCTTCTGCTTGCTGTAGCCTGCTGCTCAAGCTCTATGTGGTGGTTTTTATTTCATTGAGTGAATCTTTCAGTTCCAGAAGCTCTGCTATAATCTTTTTTAAGGTATTAATCCCTTTATATATATCCTCCTCCAAATCCTGCATATTTTTTTCTCATTTCATTGTGTTTTCTACTTGAATCTTCTCTTATCTCTTTTAGTTTTCTTAAGAGCATTGTTTGCAATTCCTTTTCAGACATTTAAAGGATTTCTTGCTCTATGGTATCTGATACTTGACAATTAATGTACTCCTTTGGTGATGTCATATCTTCTTGTTTATTTGTAATTGTAGTATCTTTTCATTGATGTCTGATCATCAGGCAGAGTACTTGTTTCTTCTGTTACTCTAGCAGGGGCAATGAGGAGAAAAACTACCTTCTCTGTTTGCAGGGTCCCCTGGTGACTCTTCTTGTATCACCACAGTTGAGTATGAAGCAGACTGCCTATATGGTGGCCCTGGTTGCTGCTGTGGAGGAGAGCCATCCTTGGGTGGCAGTAGGTGTTGTGGTGGATGTTGAGGACCACCTGCACAGAAACATTGTTTATGGCATTCTCATGGGATGCTCACTTTGGCTCCTGCTCGGGTAGTGGGAGGGGCTGTCTGGGACTTTAGGGTGGGCCTTGGTCGCATGTTGTGGGATGCTCACTTTCAGAAGTTTGAGTTTCTAAGGACCCGAATGCCCGTTCCGTACTCACCCAACCTAATGTAGGATTTAACAGGTTACACACCCTGTCCACATATTCACAGCTTAATGTCTACCTTCTCCTTAAAGAGAAAAGTTAATTAGGGAAATAGACATTTAATATGGCAGAAGAAACAGACTCCAGATGCTTGTATTATCAATCTATTCTTTGGGTTATAAAAATGAACAAACCAGTAAAAATTTAGACAATCAAGAGGAAACCATCAGTACGATGGAAATACTATACAGCAATAAATATCAACTAACTATGTTCATATGCAATAACATGGATTCTCTAAGGAGAAGGAGTAACAGCAGCCAAACTGTGATCCATTCACTACATTTCCTGGGGTTTAAGGCATATTCCTCTGGAGAGAAAAAAGAAGACAAATGACCTGGTCTAATCTTGTGAACTAGACCTCCACAAATATATAATAATAATATTTGCTTTAAATATGTATAAATTTTGTATCCTTTATACCAAACATCCAACTAAATAGCTTCTCCCTAATACTTTCTCTTACTCTATTCCAGGAGCCAATCCTAGTAATAAAAAGAAGAATTCATTTATGTGTGTAATATTTTTGATTGTCAGGAAAGAAGCATGACATGCAGCATGTTTGACATGCAACATGAATTGACATGCAACAGCCATCCCAGGCCCAGTAATCTCTTTGCACTCACATCATGAAGATTAACAAAGAGTAATGTGTTCTTACTGCATTCTATGCATTTTTTGCTGTCAGATTCATTTCATTTTTACAAATATTTCACAAATACTTATGTAAGGCCTCATGTGTGTAAGCTACTGTCTAAAACACAGCAAATGACAGAAAGATCAATAGGACCTTCAATTGTAATCTAGAGGATCTTTCTGGCCAAAAATAAGTATTAATACAAGGAAAATTTGGCCTCATAAAAATGAAGAAACTGTTCAATATTTCAAATAAGTTACTGTTTCTATTCTCTGAGATAATCAGGAAATCATCATGGAAGCAGGGACATTTGGGATATATCTTGAAGAATGAATACCATCTGAGTTGTAAATGAGGAGTGGGATTCTTTGTGGAGAGACCTGGATGGAGAAAAGCATATACCTGAGAGACTAAGGTATGTCCAGAAGTCACTCAGTGACTCATTTTGACTACAACACAGGTTCGTTAGGACAAATCCACAATAAGAGACTCCAGAGTTAAACTAACATTTTAATGAAAAAGAACTCAAATAATGCCAGGGTGAGTAAATGCAGGGAGACAAAGATATGTGTTTGCACTTAGTTATTTATATTTATTTTTATATTCATATATTAATATATATGTGTATCTATATGTCATAAATCTGTACATAGACATGAACAAATATATACTTAAGTATATATTCAGATATAGATATACTTTATTTGCATATAACATTTGCAATGACAATCCATTGAAAGTAATTGAAGATGAATATGATTTAATCAGAGTTCTATGTATGAGGAATCATCTGGCAGCAGTTTTGAAAGGTAAGAGTGTGACAGCTAGATGGAGATCAGTAACTTTAGTTTTGTAAAACACATAGATGAGTAGGTATTAGGGTGAGGACCTGAGTGGTATCAGTAGAAATTTATGGAATTTCAAGTATTGAGAGAGGAAGGGCAGGAGTAACCTGAAAATGAATCACTCATTATACTTAAAGAGTATGAAGTTTGAAGAAAGCTAAGAATCAGGACCTTTCAGTCACAAAACATCCAAACTCTTGGCCATTTACATGTCTTTTTCACCAAGCAGTATATCATCATAATATTATTTTAACTTTCATAATATGAATTTAAATTCCCTCATTTTCAAGCAGATTCCAATAACCTTTAAATATTACTGATTTCTTTGTCTTAGAAGCTCTTTTTTTTTCTTTTAATGCTGGGAAGGTTGAGACAATTTCCTTCCTTTTCTGCAACTTTTCTTCTCTACATCCACCCCAGCTTCATTCTTTAATCTAATCTGTTATCTTTCCGAATTAGTGAAGCTTTTTGGATTGCTGAGAAAAGGTCCATAGAAGGCATCACAGACAGTGAGAGGCAACTGGACTCTCTTACTGATAGAAGCACCCAGAACTAAGAAAATCCTCTCATAGTTTGTTCCTGCCTTCACTATCTTAATTCTTTTCTTATTCATTCTTCATTTCCATTTTTATTGATTTCTCTATGTGATATGTGAATTGAATTTTGACAGGAAGAGAAATTCACCATTTCCTAGTAAAATGGAATAAAAGACTTTTTGATGGCTAACCAAATTTGTGAGATTTGCCTGTGTTCAATCAAACAAAAGCCTGCCATCAGGATGTAGTAAATGTATTATAAATCTCCAGTCTGTACACCTGTATTAATATCAAAGACATCATACTCAAGTCCTTACGAGAGGATCTACACTATTTTAGCATTTATTCAATTTATAAATTCCATATTGGAAAACATCCAAGAATGTAAAATGTTATTTGTTTTCTGCATTAATTTTTTTAGTATGCTATGAACACTTGACTAAATTTCCTTAAATGTGTTTAAAACTGTATGCAGACATTTTAAGAAGAATTTAAGTTATTAACACCTTAAGTCACTGAAAAGTGTGGACAATTGTAACCACAGAAAACATTCAACATATATCAAAATATACATCTAATTTGCACAATTTTGTGACTTTTTAATAAAAGGAAAACACATTTGAGTATAAGATCTAAATATTTCCCTTTAATGTCTTTGTCAGTGAATCTATGACTTTATTATTCCTCAGGCTATAGATAATTGGATTTAAAAAAGGAATTATGACAGTGTAAAATAGAGACTCCATCATATCTTGATCATCTGCTTGTGGTGATCGAGGGCGCACATACATGAAGAGAAGAGGGCCGTAGTACAAAGACACAGACAAGAGATGGGCTCCACAGGTGGAGAAGGCTTTCCTTATGCCTTTGATGGACTTCCTTTTTAAGATTGTAAAGAGAACTAATGTGTAAGAGACAAGAACAGTCACAATGGTGAATATCTGTATTGAGCCTGACAAAATAAAAAGCATTAGAAAATTAAGAGAAGGATCAGTACAGGACATCTTTAACAATGGTATAATGTCACAGTAAAAGTGGTGTATTATATTGGAATTACAGAAGGTTAACCTGAATAAAAAACCTTCATGAATTAAGGTATGAAGAAAGCCACCTACAAATGACAAGACTAATAGCCGAATGCATAGTACATTGGTCATAATCACTGGATAAAGTAAAGGTTTGCATATGGCTACATAGCGATCATATGCCATTGCTGCCAAGAGAAAACATTCTGTGGTTGCACTGATACCAAAGAAAAAAAATTGTACCATGCATTCAGGGAGAGATATCATTTTACTCATGGCCAACAAGTTTAACAGCATCTTTGGTGTCACTGTAGATGACAGCCAAGAATCCACAAAGGCTAAACTCCCAAGGAATAAGTACATGGGGATGTGAAGGTGAGTGTCATTCCAGATAAGAGCAATCAGACCAAGGTTCCCCACGATAGTGATGACATACAATACCAAGAACACCAAGAACAGGGGGATTTTCCACTCTGGTAGATATGTAAGTCCAGTGAAAACAAACTCTGTCAGCAGTGTTGCATTTTCCTTCTCCATGTCCTCACTGGATATCCCTGAAATGCAATGCAGTAAATTTAAAAAGAAGGATTTATTCACTAAGGATTTATAAAGTGAATACTGGAGGAGGGAAGTTGAAATTAATCGTACGATAATAGATAGAAATTATTTGGGGGAATTGAAGAAATGGAAAAAATGCAATTATTTCAGTTCATAAGATATGCAAGAAGAAATTTAGAGAAAATTAAAAGCATTCTAAGCAGGCACTAAATTTATGTGTACATTCATGAGTGTGGTAGAAAAATTATGTTTCTGAGACATAGATGTAATATCAGGAGAAAAAATCTTTGTAAGGCCAGAAATATAAAATGAGCAAAAAACCATGTAAAGGGCCTTGAATTTAATTCCCCAGTCAGTGGCCATTAACTGAAAACTTTTAAGACAAAGGGTGGCAGGTAAGATATCTTTTAAATTAAATAACTGGCCTTGTAGAAAATAGGCTGCAAGGAGGGGAAACTGGAGTCAGAGATACTAATAAAGAATATATTTCTATTGTCCAGGATCCAAAACCAGATTGAATATCAGAATTTTCTGAGCATCTTTCTAGTCAAAACATAGTGAGAGGGATTACTGTGGAAAATAGATTCAATAGTTCAAGAATGAGGTTGAGGAATATGAATTTTTAAAATGCTGTCCAAATGATTCAAATGTATGTGGCATGCCTAGCCCATGTGTGACAAGACATTGGAAGTGAAAAGGAAGGCAAAGAAATAGATTCAAATGAATTAAGAATGTAGAGTCAGTAGGACTCCATGACATGTTAGATGTGAAGAGGGTGGTCAGTGAAAGAAAGAGGAGTCACGTGGTGATTCAAAATAAAGTTGAGAACTCAGATTCATTGGCAGATACGTGGAAGAAAAATCTGTTGAACATCCAGATGACATGTAGAAGAGTAGTATTACTCTACTAGTGGTTAACAAAAATAGTGATATAGCAGTTACTGGGGTAGTTGAAGGCATAGTTACAGATGTCCTAAGCATTAAAGAGTGTACCAAAAGTAAAAGAGGAAAGAGAGGAAAGAAACTTGAGAAAGTTATATTAAACAGGTTATAAAGCGGGTACATGTCATTTATTAGATGGCAAACACCTGATCCCCGTTTCCATCTTATGAATCTTGGTGGCCAAGGGAGATTATTACCCACTCTAGAGCTAGAAACTCACTTTCCAATCCCTCTTGTACCTACAGTGAAGAGACTTGATCTGGGTTTGGCTATCAAACCCACCTACCACAGATTTGGAATTTGGAAAATGGAAAACAAATGAACAGGGACCAAAGAGAATTTGGAATGCAAAGGCAGACTAGGCAGCGATAGCAAGACTCCGGTAAATGTGTGCAGCACACAGTGATGGAATTTACAGTGTGAGCTGTGGTATCCAAAAGTTCAATAGCAGGAAGGGCAGCCTTCATTGAGCCAGTGTTGGGACATAACTTTGTCGATTGGCTGCCTTACTTTATTCTGGTTATGCCCAATTTTACAGCTAATTTCTCCAATTAGCATTTCTATGTTGAGCCAATATCCATTCAATAAACTCATTTCCTGTTACAACCGGGAGTCCTAGTTCAAACAAACAAACAAAAGACAAGGAGTAGACCAGAAAAGGATACTGAGCAGAGTGGTCAGAGAAGCAGGAGGGAACGTGGAAAGCTGAGTGCTGTGGACATGAAGAGAGGAAAGATATGCAAGAAAGACAAAATGAAGTACTGGACTGACTGCCAAAATAAATGTTCTAGTAGGAGAAGGAGTGAAGAGCGAGAGCGGATTGGGGAAATAAGAGATTTTTAATGGCTTCAGTGAGAAAACTTTTTGTTTTATGATAGAATTAAAGTCAGCATATAATAAGAAGGAAATGGGCAAAAGTGGACCGCACTGAGGGCAATAAAATAGAGTTCACCAAGTAACGTGGGGAGAGGTCGGCATTTGCCTACTGCCTGTAGACGAATGTAAAATATATTTCCTGTAAGACTTTTTAATAAAACTTTTCAAGAGTAGAGAGAAGAGAGGAAGGCAGGGAGAGGAGAAAGGGGACAGGAGAAGGGAAAGAAAATTTTGGGTGCTGAAAGAAAACTAAAGGAAGAGAAATAGGCAGAGAATTAAAAAGACATAAATGAATAAGTATAGCAAAGACAAGCCAAATAAGAGAAAGGGAGGAAGTATCAGAAAAAGGCTGAAGAATAATTGAAAGGCTCAGAGGCTTGGGGGTAAATATGTATCTTAATCTTGGAGTTCATCAAAAGATGTGGATTCTGGGAATCTCTACTATAACTCAAAATTCAAAGTTTAGTATGCAATAGAATTTGCAGATAAAAATGGGTCTGATTTTAAATTTTAGTTAAAAATTTGTGTAGATCATAAATATTCTAGCAATGTCTGAAAGTTCTTTCCATTTAAAATTTGCTTTATCTTTCTTGTTATAGTGATTCAAATTGACTTACTCTAAGAATTCTTCTGGCTTTACTTTCCTCTCCAACAATTTTTTAGCAGAATAATATCAAGCCAAGACTGCAACCTGAGACAGGATATATAAGTAGCCAATACCAATAATTCCATTTATTTTAATTTGGAATGGTCTTCCCTCTGTGTAATCTCAAATCACAAAATAATTGAAAATCTCAAATTCCACTTTTGTGGGGGTATATTTTAAGTCGTAAATGCTGGAAAGAGCAGTGGAGGAACAGTTTTTGCATATTTATTTGGAAAAAGCAATGTGAGGACATTTTCTTGTATATATGAGGGTACTTCAAAAAGTTCATGGAAAAATGAAGTTGAAAGATAATACGAGTCTTTTCATAAACTTTTTTTTTTTTTTTTGCAGTCTGACCAGTATGGGGATCTGCTCACTGGCCACCCCTTTTCATAAATTTTTTGAAGACTACTCATATATGAAAATGCAATGAAATTATTTTCAGAAGTGCATTAAATGATAGAAGACTTAATATTTAAGTGACACCTTAAAAGTTTCAATCAGAATATGCATTTAATTAAATAGAATGGGTCCTTTTTGCAGAATCAACAGAAAGATATCTTAAATAACAATCACTATAATTAAATGTTTAAACCCAGTTTTAAATGAAATGAACAATTTGGTTCACCAAAACTTTTTTTTTTTTCCTTTTTGTCTTTTTTTGTGTCCGGCAACGGATCGCAACCCTCAGTG